AACTTAAGTACTTTGCAAATGCTCCAAGAGCGCGCGACTAGAATTACCGTAATCCTGATCGTGAGACTTTGACAATACATATTTGTTAAACTTTGTAAAGGAACTTTGACTCTGATACCGGTCCAATTATTTAACTTCTCCAATGAAAATCCCGCGAGAAAGCCGCTCAAAGCTTCCGCCATGCAACGTGCGGACGCATCTATGCAATCGCCTGTTGGCCAATCCGTTCATGTACAAAGCGAAACTGATACAGGGTTTCGGGACAGAAGCTAGATGTTGGGGAGGAGGGGGGAGGGGAGGGGAAGTAGTGAGACATGAGCTCTGTGTAGGGTAGTATTGTGTATTCGATGCGGGAGGCTGGAGAAGTATTGTCGTGGCATCAAATTAATGCGTCAAGGCCCATGATGGTCATCATCCGCCAAAAATTGCAAGTGTCCCATTATACGTACCATTCGTTTGAGACTGGATATACCTGGGCATAGCATGATAATCTCCGGCTGGTTCAAGGCGTTGCGTGTTCCGACCTTTTACAGCTCGCACTAGAACGATACAGTTCATTTTGTAACCCTATTTAACACCGAGTTAAAGCTTGTATTCAAGTTTGTCTGTTTGTGTCGAGTGGCTGGCCTCACACAGGATGAGACCGTACTCGGATAATGAAACACCACGATTGCCTAAAATCAATTCTCGTTGCCAACGGACCCGCCTCAGTGTACTACGCTCAAATGGACACCACGTCACAGACTGATCAGGTAGTAGCTTAGGGTTTGATCTTCTAACTTAACACAGTGTTTTCGACCTCCTGTTTCGGTGCATCGTGCGCTTTGCAATAGATGCTATACGGGTGATCTTTAGAGAATGTGCCTTAATTGCCATCACGGTTGCAGAAACGCCTTTTGACGTAAATTGCCAAGATTGGAATTGCCTGTACTAAACTGGTAGCGCAGAGGGCCTCTAACTGGTAGATAATCTAGAATATTAACATCAGCGCATGTACTAAGCATACAGTCTGCTTCCAACTAGACAGTTTAGAAATAGTGATACAGACGATATCTACGCCATCGAGTGCGACTTGACTTCAGTACGTAGCGGCGTACCGTTTGGAGGAATCATGGCCAATTATAGAACGGTTCGATCCTATTGCCTCTATTCTCACCAACTCACCAACTCAATAATTTTGAGTCGGATAAAGATTGAAAGTTCTTGTCTTGATGTTAAGTAGGGATAAATTTCGAGTCGCAGACGAGCCGTAATTGTACTGTCGTGTTGCGGTTTTAATCTGTGTCACAGGTTGTCTGTAGTGGAAGTGTCAGAAAAGTGATGACCCTCCATCAACTAATAAACCACGAATATCATAGACTGTATGTGGTATGTGGCACCGCATCGAGGTACTACGTGGAAGCCCTACTAAAGAGACCTAGGACCAACCTAGTCAGACAAGCTGAGCATTGCTCCCATGTCATCCACATGGGCAAATATCCCAGCAAAATGGCAGACGCCACGTGGTGTCCGCCATGTGACCGGGTGACCGAAGACATCGATGGAATCTCAAGATTCTGTTTTGTTAAATACATCATAGCCATTCTGTTGGTGGGCCGCTTCAAGGAAAGAAGCTCGTCGTCAAGCTAGCCGCCACTATAACGTTTCTGCGAGTCTGCGAAGCATCTACTCAACCAGGCAATGGTCTAATTAACCGTGGAGTACGTCTGCCGTACAATTTCGACAGGACACTGGATTTTGACTTCACTGGATTTGGTCCGTATGAGAACCCGATCGCGCCCGGTCAGCGACATGTTATCCATGGTATCGCTTTGAAACGCCTGGCCCAGAATGATCATGGACAAAGGCAATGTTCAGAGGCCAGTTGCTCGGAGCCCTTTGCGATTTGCATGATATGTAATACCGGCCGGCGAAATGTTTCAGTGACGGGTTCGAGTAACACCGCAAGTATTTGGTCAGAAAAGCAGACGTCAAACTTAACTATAGGCAAAGATTTGGAGGTTGGTTGATGCCTGAGTCTCGCAGCGCGCTTGTTGTAGCTGTTTCACTGTTATTTCCGATAGCGCTGTTATCTCTATCTGAGGGTTAGGGTTAGGAAAAGACGTAGACGACCCTGAAACAGACTATGAACGACCAACAATCGGCTTATAGGCAGGACAAAGGCAAGAAAGACTCTCATGCAAGCAACGTAGATATTATCGATATCGAGGCCGATGATGGGTCCGTTGATGGTTCCAATCACAACGGCACCTTAGGTCGATTTGAGCCTCTGTACGGCCAATGGTATTGTTGATGTAGAGGTCAACCTGCCTGTCTAGTTAATGTTTCTTCTAGTTTCTACACGACTGATTCTTATCAATCCTATAGATGCGGCGAAACCCCGCAATGGTTTCCAATGTCAAATTTTGTGTAAAGTCAGAAAGGAATCTGCTTGTTAGAAAAGAATTTTCCTCGGCTTTCGAAGAAACGCATGTACCTTTATCGTGCCCCTGTCGATCCGAGTTTCCATAGCGTCATAATTTACATCCACATGCACATTCGGCTACAACTAGACGAAAGAGACCAGTGCAAATGCATCCCATCAACCGAAATTAGAATTTTGCGGTGGTGCGATGATACAAGCTGGTTTCTGTGGCGTTGTCTCTTGAAAGTATTCTTCGACCACCATCAGGTGATTACGGCCATGCATTGCTTAGCATCAAGCACACTTTGGAGTTGACATTGTAGTGCTTGCTAACATCAAGAGGGTGTTAAGGACTACATATCCTGCCTTAATCCTAACGTCAGTGGATATGGCACGAAACCTCACGTCACGGCCATGCCCCAAACATGTCCACCAATAGTTAGCCACACCACCTCCGGATGCAGTGGATGCAAATGTTATCAGTTGGACGTTCCTTTGTTATCAGGCTCGCTATAGCTATAACATGGGCGGATGATGTTCCGGTGCAGGCACGAATGGCTATTCAATCATACTAAAGTCTTTGATTTGACTTGCTGAAAATCTCAATTCATCCTCGATGTATTTGATCCTCCATGAAATCCTTTTATTTCCATCTTCGTGCTCATCCAGTCATCAAGAGAACTGAGTTTCCTGAAACAAGCAGCTGTCTTGAAATCCTCACACGCACAGCGCCAGCCAACATGGATTTTCCTATTCCCAGCATCTGCCTGTCAAGATACTCCTTGTTCCTATCTGGGCCAATGTCCAGATCTCAGCAAGTGAAACAGGGGCGCCTTCGGGGTAAACTAGGCAAATTATCTACTTGAAACGACGAGAGTTCTTTGGTCACCGTGCCTCTGATGACCCTCCCATATATCCCGCAAAAGAAGATATCGTCTCATTCTTGGATGAATGGCAACAGTGTGCAAGCGACCTTCGGAAACATCTAATATACCTGACTAGGAGGAATAGCCCATGTTGTCCTGAGATGAGACGGCTTCAATGGACTTGCGAACAAGTTTTGTGCCGCTGGGAAGCGTGTTTCCGACATGCATGTCCTGGCCTGGAAAGCCCTGTGGACTCGAACATGGCTCTCCCGGATCTGAGATCGTCGATTTAGGACGCGATTCTTGAAGAAGGCGCCTTCGCGGCAACTGTTGATTAGATGGAGTGGTCAGTTTCCCCTAGTACAATGGCATTGTAATTTACTCTTTTAGTCACTTTCTTCAGTTGCCATGTGATTGTCTTCAATGGATGCGACCGTCAACTCTCTTATATATTAGATAATATATCGCCAGATCGCCTCGCGATAGTTCAGATACTGCGATTTTCTTCGAAGTGGTCGCTTGCGGTCTTGCGGACTGACCTCGAAATATTTGTTAAGAATGTACATAGTTCGGCGCTGGAGAATGCCATGTTTTGTGGCAAGAGCGTATCAGAACAGGACAATGTACTTGCTTTGTTGCTCTCACCAGCACACGAAGCATAGAGGTAATTTGAATGTCGTTAATTTGAACCCTGATATATAACAATACACCTATCGCGAACACAACGCCGTTAATTGCAGTCGGCAGTCGAGGCCACATGTGTCTTACGACAAGCACCGCTGTCAACTATCTTGGAATAATATTTGATATCGCCCTGATACTCTGCCTAAACGCCTGAATCTGGTTTTCAATGACGAGGAGCATGCACCATGATGTTGAGATTCAGTGATCATCGGTTGTAAAGGTCGATAAGTGAGAATGAGTCGACTATTGAGTTCAAGCTATCAGGCTATACAACGCGAGTCGCGCTGTGTATAACAATGCTTGACTACATATTTGGACGTAACGCGTTAACGAGAGCCATTGGATAACAGCACGGTTCGAAATCGCTGGCTGGCTTGCTGTGCAGACAATCATTGAGACGTGGGTACGGGTCCTTCTGTAGTGTGCATGTATTTGAGCGACGGGAATGCTGACGATGGGATCAGTCTGTTGCATCGCCGTCCATAATATCATGCGTCCAGCTTTGCCAGGGTCGTCCAGTGACCGCCAAATTTACATATAGTAGTTGGTAGGATGTTAGAGCCCGTTGGCGGCTTTCTTGGTGATCGGCAAAGCATGCCGGAGTCAGGGGGGTGGTGAGCTTCGGCGAAGAAGTGGACCAACTAACCAGCGTTAGACTTATGCCAACTTACGGCGCTGGCGTTTGTAGGTGACAACAGAAGTAACAATACCACCACTGACGAAAGCTAACAGATTGTACCTCATATTCTTACACTTTTGCTTGAAGCACGCTGTTAAATAAGACAACGTCCTTCTTCGACACTCCACGTCGTAGACAGCACACCTTTCTCCTTGAAGTTGTTTTCGATATGCTGCTGATACTGGATAGTCGTAACCGCATAAGATATACTATGGTCTCCGTCGCTCGCGGGCCTTCTTCTCAAGACCGCTGCAAAAGGATCGTCAATATGAGCTGTGGACCACCATCTGAGGGCCGTGATTTTGAGTCAAGAATAATGATTCACTGCTGTTCAGATTTAGAATGCAACACGCCAATTACTCCCTTCATGTCGGCACAGCCCAGCTTTTTGATGAGAGGCCAGTTGCATCACAACATCGACAAGCCGGGGGTACCGCTTCCTACTTTGCGCGAGCTGGGACTAGACAAATTTCTGACCAAGGCCGATAACCGCGATTCGCAGCAAGACCTGGAAGAGAATGAGAGCCCAGCTATGATCCATTCGGGCTCTCAGGCTCGGCCCCAGCGAGATGAGCCAAGTTATTCGCGACCTTACTCTTCGTCCGCGACTTACAACGAACTAGACAAAGCATGCAACAGCAACTACCCTGGCAGCGGAAGATCGTGGGGTTTGATATACCAAAAGTCCACCGTAGAACGCCTATGTCGCACGCAGCTATACCTTCAGAATACGCACTACGGGCACCGCAGAGAGGCAGGGACCCGTCCGCCTCATCGCTCGAGCCTGCCGCACAGGGTTTCGGCAAGTGGCAGAGGGAACAATCACCGGACTGCGGCGCGAAGAGAGTTCTCAATTACACCACAGAGCGCGTCATCTCCTCCGCAAAATCAAGCGAGGTCGTGGAGAGCAAGACGCTATGACCTTATCGGACAGTTGCATAGCAAAGCATAGATGTTGACCCACGGACTAACGCAGAACAACAAATCGACACGTAGATATGTGTGGGGACTTGGGTAATTATCACAAGGGCAGCCAGCTATATCTTTTACGCTGCGCGACGAGCCGCGTCCAGGGATGTACAGAAAAAAGCGTAGAAAATAGAATGAATATAACAGATAACGAAGTCATCGCCGCTACATACCTCCCCATTTTGGTTGACATACTTGACGTATTGCCTTTGCACAACGACACAAGTTAAAGTAATCCTGGAATTCGGGGCTTGGTATGTTGAATATTTTGTGTGAGAATCTGCTCACGTCAAGTCGATTGCAATGGTGTCGATGTTAGCTCGGTCATGGAGATCTGTCGAATCAACATCCTTCGTGAGCGGTGGCTCACAACGCTATGTATTGGCGGAGACCAATGAGACAGCGAGCAGATGTTGAATTCCAGCAATGACAGATTCTTAGTAGTTGATAATGGCAGCTTGTCCCTTTCTTAAACACGTATTCATGCGTTGAAGATGAGTCAAGCCCAGCTCTGTTCGACATTCTGTAATGCGACATAACTATAAGAGAACATAAATTAGGGTCACAGCTATCTCTTTTTGCTTAAGCCATAAAGAGCTTGTGTCATTTCGTCGATGTGTGGGCCGATTACTGTAATGAGGAAATGGGCCAGGTAGTAAGAAGGGTCTATATTCGTGAGATGTTGCGAACTTAACAAACGAGCCAACAAACAACAGTACGATCTAGAGATCAGATGTATGACACATGGTATGAGGTGTCGAAGTAAGGCAGAGAGAGCCCCTCTTATTCATGTGTTCACATGACCTTGTGTCTAGGAGACATTTTCGTGACAAAGCATGACTGTAAAGGCGGATTTGTTGACTAAGGGCCGGTTAAAGTGAAGCAGCTGTTGGCATTTAAGTCCCCGTCCCCAGTAGAAGCTTTCGCACAACTTCGGAATATCCTTGTATGACACGAACTAGAACATCGCAAAGAACGCCAATCTGCAGTTATGAAAACCAACAAGAAATCGCAAATGCTAGGTTTCACATCGCGACCAATCTCATCACCTCTCAGCCCTTCCTCTGATCTAGTCACCGTCACTTTGAAAGACTTGGGCCCTCGTACCAGTGCTACCTTGGCCCGATTTTGCAACGATCCAGATACAGTAGCCAAAGGCTTTTGGCAGTGCCGTATCGCCGACTACAGTCCGTCAGGCATCTTTACCGAAAACGGAATCGCCAGCTTCTCGCTGGAAACAGATGACGACACGTCTAGAGTGGACTTCTACACGACGAAGGTCGAACCCTCACGGCAGGAAAACGCTGTGTTTCACTTACAATACGCTAACGCCGCATATCGTCGCCCGAAGATGGTTTCGTTCACAAACTACGCGCCGGCAGTTCTTAGCAACAACAACCTCTTCTCAGCTGATGCGCTACGAAGACGCACAGCCATACACGGCCAGTACTATATTGGCGACTGGTCTTGTTTGCTTGGCAAGCCATCGTCGTTGTTGAGTTGCGGTCCTCAGCTTAAGAGCCTCTTTGTGAACGATGCCAAGCCGGGCATCACGACGCCGTATCTGTACTATGCGAAACACGCACTCACTGGAAGCGGCATGCATATAGAGGATCTTGCTGTGCCGTCAATCAACATGGTACGCTGGGGCGCGCCCAAGCGATGGCTATTCGTCACACCAGGGCAAGAGAACGTAAGAGCTTTCGAGAAGAAATGCCGCGAGACATTCCCGTGGCCCCCACAAGCCCGTAGGCCCCAATGCGCAGCGACACATTGCTCACAGTTTGTGCGGCATGCAAATGTTCTTGTGATGACTGAGGCTCTCCTTGACTGGGGCATCAACTTCAGTGAGACAATCTGTCGAGAAGGGGAGCTGGTGGTCCCTCTCCCAGGGACAAACCACCAAGTCGTCAATATGGGGGAGAACCTCGCAGAGGCTGTCAACGTGATGTGGGGCAACTGCGGTGAAGTCCCATCGACCTACACTTGTTGCAGCCGTGATGGATGTCGATATACTGGTGGCGTCTCCCAAGATGATTTGATGCCCGGGATCTTAGGTCAAAGAGCTTCAGGAACGCCACACAAGCTGGGCGACAATACATCGAGGTTTAAATTAGAGACATTCACATATACGTAGCAGGAAAGCAGATACGCGAAGGCATAGAATGGCGCTCATGGCGTGAAAATCTCTTTTGATATGGAGAGGATATTAGGCGTGCATGTTTGGATGGACAAATAACTTGCTCCGAAGCGAGATAGAGCTCTAGGATGAATAGACACGTGCGGCCGTTGTGCTCAGATGTCGTCGACCTGCTTCAGAGGCCTGAACGAATTGATTCACAACGTTCCATCGATGCCTGGGCAGAGCGGTTCCTGAGGGTGTGTGAAAGATCCTCTAAGTGAGTCTATCCGCTGGCAGGGTTACAGATTCGCAGATTAGAAGATGCTACTGAAATAGAAAACGAAAAAACAAAGAACGTCCGCCAAGGGCCAGTGACCAAGCCATTAGGTCCCGTACGAAGGTGGAGCTGAGAACATGACGTAGCGAGCTCTCGACCTCGAGCTTCGTCTTATTAACGGGATCTCTAATGCTTCATGACCTCAATGCCATATTGTGTATCACGAACATGTGCCGTCTCCTTTCCCAAAGCATGCAAAACTGCCATTTGGCAGTCAGTCCGGCAGCTGCACGGGTCTGAGCGTTATAGCAGCTGACAGCTTAACAAAAGCATCTACTTCGAGATGTTATATCCGCTAAAGCGGTACTGGAACCGGAGTCATTGTTGTCACAGGATGAACACGCTACATCCTTGACGAGTGTTATATTGCCTTTCACCATTCCGTGGATGTTATGATTTGCCAACTCCATTGCACTAGAACGTATGTGATATAGAGCTATACTTCTCTTTGGCCAAGAAATGTACGGGTTTGCGCAGTAAGTTAGGAAGAAGATAATCACCACTCGCACTTGTTAGCTCGTTACTTACACAACATTGAACACGATATAACGTGTTATCCTACCATAGTACTTCCAATCATCGCAGATAAGCAATCACGTTGCATCTTCGAACCATTCATGCGACGTGCTTCACTTAGTTGGGATATATCCATAGCCATGATGGAGTACAAAAGGTCCCAGTGCCATGTGCTTGAATCGATCCCAGCATCGCCTACGTACAGCAAGTCACAGTTCGCCAGCCATGCAAATCACTGTCCAAGTACTCGACACGCAGAAACGACCTATCGCAGGTGTTTTCGTGACTCTGCACTGCTTGGATGTTCCACACATTTTGTTCAACGGTATGACAGACTCGAATGGCAGACCCTCATGGAAGTTGGAGAGTGGCTCTCGACCGGAACACACCTGCCGTAAAGTTTGGAATGCGCACTGGCAGATTACAGTCTATTTCATGGGGAAAATGATGCCAATCATTCTTGTTGCCTGCTTTGTTCCGAACCTAATCCACTTAGGCATTCAGCTGACAAAGAAGGGGTATGTGGTGGATCTGTGTCGTTCTGGAGTGGAGGATTCTAGCGGAGGGAATCGAAAACAGATCATTCCCGCTGTGGGGGCCATGCTAGGAAGGCGGGCTAAGGATCGTTTGCTTTGACAACTCCGCTTCCGGCGATAGTCCTCATTCACAGTGTGCATTACGCATCCTAATTGGATCTAGTGAACAGAACATTCTTGTCTGTCAAAAGAAAGATGGAAGACAAATGCGACATGAACATCTGAGTGTGTGGTCGATTTGTTCCTGCATCGTTGTGTCTGTTTCTCTCCCGTAGTTGATGGTACATCCACCCAAGGTAATTATAGGAATCTACGATGCTCCGCCATCACTTCATATCCACTAGCATTGACATAGTACCAAACCGATCGGGTAACGTCTTTGTGTAGTGAACCCTGGAAGCACTCCGTGCTAGTACCTACGTCAAACGCAAGGGAGTCTAATATGCGGTAGTCCTCACGGTCAAATTCGAGCAAGCTTGGATACGGCTATGGAAGATAACTGTACGCAGGTATAACTATGATAGTGGTAAACATGCGTCTTACACATTCTTGTACTCTGTCGGCTCAGGCTCTTCGGTTGACTGGTTAAACTGGTGGAGTATTTGTCGAGAGAGACAGCATTAGTAGAAAGGTAGTGACTACAGATGCGACTGCCGTCCATCTGACTCACCATATACTACGCCTTTGACGCACTTCTGGCATAGATATGCCCGTGTGGATTGTCATGTCATGTATATTGACTTTGCGAGGGCCTCGTTCGTGTCAGATGGCTGGTCATCTTTGCCGTGACACAATGGACCTTTGTGAGCCTTGACCAAGTTATAGTCATGGAAACGTAAACGTGCGAGCGTGAGCCGACGAGCATTCATAGTGGGGTCTGCAAAGACCACTAGATCACGATCTTTCTCAGCTATAGTAGAACATATTTAGTCGAACATATGTCTTGGTGTGTAGCTGCGGAACAAGCTCGAGGTATCGATTGCATAAGATGGCCGTCACGCGATGCACGCATATACTGAGTCGCCTAGATGGGTGCTTCAGTCATGATAGTTTCAGTGAAGGACATATGTCTGACACCCTTCGCTAGTGATAACAGTCCCATCTCTTCTGGTCGAACTATTTATATGATGGCGATCTACTTCATCGGACTCAGAGCAAGCTCGCTTTACTGATTGGTTATGTCTCTTGGAGCATCATGGTAGCATCCAGATTATTTTCGATCGCTGAGTTTATGAGATGTATAAATCTGAAGGGGCTCGGGAAGTGTTTGGGCCAAGCCAAATCCGGCGGTCGCTGCAAGAAGAGAATCTGTAGCGATCTCGAAGAAGCCAGTTTCGTTCATTTTGAAGACGCTAAGCTTGTGGACATCGTAAAACGGGCGCTTTGTAGACTGCACAAGTATCAAACGGACATCATTGTGTGTAAATGGCAACGCCAGCTTTCACAAACGAGTGAAGAGGTGAGCAGTGCCCGGCAGAGAAGGCAGGTGCTCCAACAGACGATTATCCACAGACAGTATCTTCGGTTGGCGCAGCGAAAAGAAAACGAGAAGTTGAGGCTGCAACGGAGAAGGCTATTCAGCTTGCATCGCCACGAGAAGAGAGGCATACCGACAAAGCCTACAGGTTTGGGAGTAGTCTCTGATGAAGATTCGGCCATATGCCTGACAGAGCAGGCTGACCGATGATTAGTACGCGGAGATAGGAAGCTTGGGGGGTAACTATTCGCCAATTGCCATGCTTTTTCCAAGGTGTCCGGCCACGTGCTACTTCGGAATACGAGTCTGATTGGACCGTGTATTGTTGCAGAGGTGTGGCAAGAGATTCAGATAGAGCATGGCACTCAGAGCCAGTTCTGGCTGGTTTTCGATGCGCGAACAATCATGATGGTACCATCCATAGTCAACATTGCGGTTCATTGCTCGCTTTAGCGTCAGGTACGTATTCAGGTCGGGAGTCAAAAACAAACCTTAATAAGTCTTCAGACAGCTATAGTCGAGTTAATCTAAGCGCTGAATGAATGTACGTCTATTCACAATGTCTATTGCGAACGAACAAAACGGAGGGTAGTGCGGTTTAAATCGGGAGACGAATCCAAAAAGCAAGTAAACTAAGGTAGATTGTAAAAACAGCAGTGACATTGGGTTTTCTCCATTCGAACATGGCCTCAATAAACGCCACCCTCTATTTTCGCCCAGCAGCTTCCAAATCACATTCTAGTGCAACCGAAAAGCCTGATGGATGTGTCATTCAAACATTTTTTTTTTCTCGAATGCAAACTCATATTCAGATCTTTCAGTTAGCCATCAGTCTAGGACTTAAATATTGGCAATATCGCCGACTAGGTAGGCCGCAGTACACGTCAAGCACAGAAAGAAAATTGACACGCCCATTGTCGATGCCGCGCCGACAAATGGCACGTGGTGATGAGGAGTTGCAATAGGTGCAGCACCGGTCGCCTGAACGGCACTGGGAATGCCGGTCCCGTTATTGTATGGCGGAGCGCTCTCGACCAATTTGAAGTTGGCGCAGGTGATCCGCGTCTTGTTTGCGAAATGCAGTACGAAGCTACGATTGCCAAAAAACGAGCCTGGCCCCTGCACGATTGAAAGATAGCGATCGACGTATGTCTGACGGTAGTGCTCGCCGGCGACAGAGCCGTGCTTACCGCTGAGGTCTCCAACTTGGCAAGTCTCTGGCCTCGAGGCATCGCACGGTGTACCTTCTCCACGGATGAAGGGGTCATGGTGCGCGAGTTTTTTCGTGCAGTTGCCGTCCTCCGGAACCGGATCAGCATGGAGGTGATAGGCTATAAACGTTAGAACGGACCGATGTGAGTAAGCGATCCAGTGGCAAACGATTCCCAACGTACCAAACGGGCCGCCCTCGGTCGGCAGATCCGAAAATTCAACTGTGAGCTCGACGCCGTTGCCATCCCGAGCTGTCATGGCGGTGATGGTCCCTCGCACGTTTCTAGTCGTGGAACCTGCCTTGAAGAAGGGCCTATCCGGGAGGATCGCCTCATAGACGATACCTTGTGGGTTTTTGACGACTGGAGCATCGCCAAGTTCCTGCGGCGACGCGGTGTCAGCGGGATGGTTGCATGTGGGGGTGGGGGGGAAGGTTGAAGAGCCATACTCCAGTACTTCGCAATGCAGCGCTGGCAACAGCTACAGCGGCGACGGAAAGGACGAAGTACATTCGCATCTTATGGATTTGCAGGTTCGTTGTTTTGTTGATAGATCAAGGGCTGAATGTGGTCGGCGATGGGACTGTAAGAGGATGTTTATCGTTACCTTTGCGAGCGCAGTGACTTCCCGGTTATATATTCGTTGACTTTCTACAGCATAACTGTCATGGCCCTATCAGAAGGGCACAGTCCAAGTCAAAGCGCTACGCGTCTGATTAGATAGATGCTCTCATCTGTAAGGCGACCGCAGCATTCTCTCCGGGTGTCTAGATGTAGCGCTGCTCTGTGGAGCCAGCGGGATAGGCTGATTAAACGG